GTGAGGGGAATGGGAAAATAAGCAAGGAGAGAAATGAATTACAGTAGATGGGGTAGAGAGAGAAGATGTAAGGGGAGGGGAGGGGGGATAGTAGGGGATAGGAAAGATAGCAGAATACAACAATTACTAATAGGGCATTATGTAAAATTGTGGATGTGTAACTGATGTGATTCTGCAATCTGAATTTGGGGTAAAACTGGGAGTTCATAACCCACTTCAATCTAATGTATGAAATATGATATGTCAAGAGCTTTGGAATGTTGTGAACAACCAATAAAAAAAAGAAAAAAAAGAAAACACTATACACATACACAATGGAATACACTCAGCCATAATGACCAATGAAATCCTGTCATTTGTGACAACATGAATAGAACTAGAAGTCACATGTTAAAAAAAAAAAAATAAGCCAGGCACAGAAAGACAAGTGCTTCATGATTTCACTCATATGGGAATATTAAAAGGTTCAGAGTAGATTAGTGGTTACCAGAAGTTAGGGAGAGTAAGGAGAGTTAAGGACCAGAAAAGGTAGATCAGTGGATACTGAATTACAGTTAGGTAAGAGTAAGAGGTTCTGGTCCACTGTTTCACAATAGGATGAGTATAGTTGACAACCATGTACATTATATCTCAAAAGTTAGAAGAAAGTATTTTGAATGCTAGAAGAAAGTATTTTGAATGCTTCCATGACAAAGAAATGATAAAATCTTGAGAAGGTGAGTAAGTTAAATATTTTACAATATATACATGTATCAAAACATCACATGGTACTCCATAATATGTACAATTCTTATGTTTTTATGTATCAATTCAAAAGTTTTAAAATTGTATCTTCTTCTGCAAAATGATTATCACTTTCAACAGATACCCAAGGTTATATATAGAGAATTGAGTTAAGTGTTATCCAAAGAAGCAGCAAGAAGTAAAGTCTATTTCACACCCACACAGCTAGTGGTTGCAGTGAAGTATTTCTACATAAAAGTTCATTCCTCAGGTCACATCAGTCACAAAACAAATAGCCCCTGAGAAACATTAAGCTCAATGCTTTCCTCCAGAACGCACACGCACAGAATGGCAAGAGCTATACATTCCCTGTTGCAATAATCTTACACGTCTGTTTTGGTTAGGGACCAATGAGATGAGATTTCGCTGCATAAATGTAGCTTTTACAATTTGAACAAATAGTAGGAACTCTACCTGAAAAATGTGTAACCATGCCAGCTTCAACAGCTTCTGAGAGCTACACAGCCCTCACACCATAATCACTCTCAGGAATTTCATTCATTTGCTTAAACAGCAAGCAAGTCAGGCAATTTTTCCTACTGCTCCCCTCAAGTATCCAGACACGTCTTGAAAGTGTGTGCATGAATGTGCATGTTGTATGTATATAGAGAAAGGCTGTGACTTGACTTCCCTCCTCAGTTACTCCAAAGTTCATGCTAATGAAAGACTACTACTGTTGATTGGTACTGGACAAATTTTTTTTCTTTTTTTTTCAAATTTTTCTTATAATAACAATAATCAACTTAGAGGCAGAAATACTGAAAGGATGAGATGTTCATGTGGTTTCTGAACAGGAAATTGACTTTACCATGAAGCAGGCGCTGTTCCTGTAACTGCAGAGACCTGTACTCCACCCATTTTTTCTTCAAGGTTTGCTGTAAGAAAGAAAAAAAAAAGTGCTTATTATTAGGAAAATCCCAGTAAAGTAAGCAATTTAATTCTATGTATTGAGATTTGTCATTAAAACTTTCTTTTCTTTCAAATGTTACAAGCCTCTCTCATTCATTAAAAGATTTTGGTGTATTTTGTATTAAAGAAAAATATTGAAGATACTAATTTCTCAAGGAATAAACTAGTAGCACCAACTCTTCTTTTAAAAAATGAGGAACAATTAAATTTATATTTTTTATTTTAAAAAATATTACAGACCCAGAGTGTCTGGGTTTATAAGAACTTATTACCTATTTAGACAAAGACGTGCACTCTAAAATTTCTCCAAATGCATGTGAGGGCAATAATAGAACCTGAACTTCAAGAGTCTCATGAGGGTTAAATAAGCTGACAGATGTCAAATAATTAGAGCAATGACTAAAACTTAGTAAATGCTTAATAATAATCATCAATCTCTTAGAAGCGAATGGTACAAAAACTGCATTTTTTTTTTTTTTTTTTTGCTGTACATCTCTTTATTTTCTATACCACAAATGAGAACAGACCTGTTTTCAAATGTCCCTTGGAAGGCTAATCTTAGATTACTGCTCAGCACCCTGACTCCTTAGCTGGTTCCTTCCTCGGCTGCTGCAGCATGTGAGAACCAGAACCCACATTGGGCAGGAAGTATATGCTCTCAAAACAGCATGCAAGTTCTGGCCTCTAGCACAGGGAAAGCTGAGGCCATGGAAATCCAAAACCGATCTGGCAGAAGGCATCTGACAAGACAGTTGTCACAGACTCACTCTCCCTCCCATCCCTTGTCCTCTACTCTACCCCCCCTTTGCTTCTACAGGTTTCCATAGCCAGTCCAGCAAGTGGACACAGCTCAGATATGCCAGGGACACTCATCCTAAAAGAAAGACAGCCTAGTTGGAAATAAGCAGTCCTTTGTTCAAAGCAAGCTGGAGGATTAGATGAAGGTTAAAAAGAAAGTGAAAAAAAATACATTGGAGAGGGAAAAGTTTAAGGGAAAGAAAATAATAAAATTGCAAAAAAGATCATTAAATGCATAAGGGGAACATAGGTCATTACTCACTCTTCAAGGACTGAACAGGAACTGGGCTGGAATCTTCCCAGCCTCAATAATGGTAACAGTTAAAAAGTAATCCTTATGTTTGCCAATATAATATGCAAACAATAAATCAAAGTAATAAAATGCTTGGCTCGGTTAATTTCTTATTCCTTCAGAGTGATAACATCTTTAATGGGTACAAAACTGCTGAGCTGCCTTAGTCACAGTCCTTGACTTCCTAAGCTTGTGGATACCTGAGGGTGAGAATCAGGGATCCAGAAGTATAGAACTAGGGAGAACTGGAATATACACCTACTCCTTTCTTCTTTCTTAAAGAGATTTATCTCCTACAAGGGAACAGAGTCCAGTAGAGAAGCATAATAGTAGGTTGACAGTCAAAACTAAATATAGAAAGAAAATGAAGTAATATTCCTGAACTTACTATCCAAAAATACAAAGCCAGGGCTTGCCAAGCATATAATTTTTGCAAACATAAAGGTTTTAAAATAGCTAATTTGTTGATCTGGCCCAGTCATCTAAGTATGTCATCACTTAACACCATGAAAATACCAGTGTAAAGAGCAGATGTGTCAAAGTGACTAAGAGTTTTTAGTCTATAACTAAGTTTCCTTATTTTCCTCAGAGTTTATTTCTTCCTGTGTTATTGATAGCACATTGTATATTTGAATAAATATGAACTGTCATCATCCCATGAGAACTACGTAAGTTCTAGCTATCCTGGGCCACTTTGCTTGACTGAGTCCAGTTTAGGGCCTGATACAGAGAAACTGGCATAATATTTGAATACTGCATAAAAGAGCACACAGAAACTGGCTTCATGAAAGGACCTGCAACTATCACACATTAGATTGGTTCCAAATATTTTTCAAGTGTTTTCAATCTACATGAGATATAAAACCAAACTTCTCCCTGGCTTTAGTACATTTACTGCACTTTCAGAGATAATATGCTATTTAATTTTTATAATTTCCCCCCAAAATGTCATGGACTAGAAAATAAAGTTATGGTACAGCAAAATATTTTTTAAGGGCTACAAAAATAGAAAATGGCAGAGCTAGATTTAAAACTAGATATCTCAGCTAGTCCATCAGATGTGCTGTTTTCATATTCTACATCTGAATCATAGGTTAAGAGAAAGGGAATCCCTGGAAATGTGACTCAGAAGGGACCACTGTTTCTAAAGAAGAGCTTTTGGCCCCACAAAGAGTCTTTGGGGAATAGAACGCTCACCAGTAGGGGATGCACAAAGAAATGTCATCATGCAGAAGGGAAGACAGCCTGACCTTGGCTCTAGCTCATACACAGACATTTCTGACTCAAGAGATGAACGAAAAAAATCTCACAATTTCAAAATTAGAAGTAGAACAAAAATGTCAGACACACGTAGAAATGAACCTTAATGTCTATTGGGCCTAGAGAAGCTGGAAGAGGCAACTATAAATTCATATCCTCTGTCAGTACATGGTTTAAATGCACCTGTCTGAAGCACAAGACTGAGTCAAGCTTCCTGCTTAAGAAATGAAACATGGCTAAAGCTTTCATGCAAAGAAAAGGAGGCTGAGAAAAGCTACCGCTATCTACCTAGAGAGAAAGGAGTACATAAGCATATTCTCATGACCTGAGCCAAGTTCCACACTGACTCTCCAGGCTAGGCATCCAAGCTACCAGACTGGCTCTGGATTGGGAGTCTCAAAGTGCTGTGTGGAGGCAACTGTCCACCTATAACATTTAGCTGAAGCAGATGCTACGACTCAAGGAAAGCAGGAGGTTTAAACTCCAAAATTCCCACAGATGTTTAATGAAAGCAAAATCATAAAATTAATGATCAATACATGGATTCTCTACAAGCAAAATAAAAAGAGCAAAGTATCCAAAGAAGGGATAGGGATGTGGCAGTGGTAGAGTTCTTGCCTAGCATGTGTGAGGCACTGGGTTCAATTCTCAGCATGACATATAAACAAATAAGTAAAATAAAGGTCCTTCAACAACTAAAAAATATATATATTTTCAAAAAAGTATCCAAAGAAGTCATTAAAATAAGAATGCTTATAATCCCCTGAGAGAGATAAATGAGATCAATATTCATAAGAAAAAGAAAGTTTGAAACAAAGAAAGGAAAGAAAAACAGGTACACATGAAAAACTACTTGATAATAAAGTAGAAATAAATTTTAAAATTGAATAGAAAGAATACATTCTATTAGAATGGAGATAATAAGAATGTTACTGAAGTTATTACTAAGAAAGATAAATCAAGAGACTCTAAGATATGGTTAACAGGAATTCAAGATGATATTGTAGGAAGTGGTAAAGAAGTAATAGTCAGAAAGATCCATGTGACTGTATTCCAAATCTGAATATAGTCACATGTCTTTAGACCAAATCTGAGAGCTCTAAGCAGTATAAATTTGGAAACCTAATACATGCAGATAAACTGTATCTCAATAAATATTTTTGAAATCATGAAAGTAGACAGAAAAAAGATAATAGATTGTCTCCAATACAAATATTGGTATTTTAAGATTTAAAAAAAAAATAGACCCCTAGAGAAATTACCAATGATTGTGGTAGGGGAGATAGATGGGGAGTGCATAAAAGGTAGAAAATGAGGACATAATCACATTTGTGACAGAGATCAAGAGGTATTTATTGGGGCTGGGGACATAGCTTAGTTGGGAGAGTGCTAGTCTCACATGCATAAGACCCTGGTTCATTCTCCAGCACTAAAAAAAAAAAAAAAAAGTGTTTGTATGTGTTTGTGTGTGTGTGTGTGTGTGTGTGTGTATCAACTTCATGCAATATATTTAAAATTTTTAAAACTTTATCAATAAAAATGTAAACCACCAAAACAGTTCAAAAAAAAAAAAAAGAAGAAGAAAAAGAAAAACTGAGTTGTCTTGCAAATAAGAGGAATTGAAACATCAGTTAAAAAGTATTCTCACCACAACTGAATCTCAAGTACAGATGATTCAGATGGCATTACAAGAATTCTTCCAGAGAACAAAAAAAAAAAAAAAAAAAAGAAAGAAAGAAAGAAAAATGGAAGGCAGTCCTGGCTCATGTTAAAAAATCCAGTAAACTTGATACTAAAACTTTAAAAGATGTCTGAGAAAATAAAAATATAGGTCAGACTACCTGTAAAATAAAGCCATTTCAAAAAATATGGCAAATCAAACCTATAAGTACAGAAAAAATAATTATAAATTTCAAGGATAAATCAAATTGGGCCTATCATAGAAATAAAAGTGTGGTTTTACATCAAAAAATCTCTAAATGTCATTCACCATACTTTTGATTCTGATTTTTTTTGTTATTCATAATACTGACTGATATTTTTAAATGAATAAATGAGAAGACCATCTTTACAGATGCAGAAAAGGTATGTGCTGAAAATTAATACATAAGCATTATAAAAAACTACCAGAAAATGTGAGGTAGAAACTTATTTAATCTGGAAAGTATTTTCATAGAAAGAGCTCATTCCTAGTAGGAGAATATTGAAACAATGCTTTTAAAAATCAAGAACAAAACAAGCTTACCTATTATTATTATTTCTATTTATCCTATGTGGTAGGTCCTAGCCAGTGTCATTAAGTAACAAAAGTAACTGAATGTCATTTTGACAGATATTATCTTTATAGAAAACCCCAAATAATCTACACATAATTTTTTAGAAATTATATCATTTAACAAAATATTTGAATACAATAATAACATAGAAAAATTGATTTCACATATGTATACATTACCCATAATTCAAACATTTATCTCTCTTTTGCAAAAACAAATTAACTTTGACAGTTTAAAAAATCTAAATATAATATGAAGCACTTCTTATGACTGATAAAAATTTAATGACAAAATATTAGAAGCATCTCCTTTGAATTCAAGAAAAAAGCTACTATTTATAACTTACTGAAGATCCTAGACAATGCTATAAGATAAGAAAAATAAATTAGTTGAATAATTGAACTGGTGCTTAGTTTGTGGCTCAGTGGTAGATGCTTGCCTAGCATGTGTAAAACCCTAGGTGCAGTCCCAGCACCACCAACAATAACAATAATAAATATTACTAATAATAATTTTATTGAACTAAAGGGGCAAAACTTTCATTAGTTGCAGATATTTATGTATAAAAATTTAAGGAATTTATAAAGTTATTATCCAAATAAAGTAAGTTGTATGACTACTGGATTTAAAATTATACAAAAAAAAACTAGTAGCAATAAATGCAAAAAGATTATTTTGTTGCAGCAAGAAATCTTAGAGCATATCTAAGAGTAAACATAATAAAATGTATGTGAAAATGTATGAAAAAAATTACAAAATATTTTGAAGTACTCAAAAGCCCTGAATAAAATGACTGAAAAATTTTGTTCAAAGTGGAAATAAAAGCCATAAAGATTTTAATCCATCTCATTTATTTGATAGATGTAATCGAGCTGATATCTAAATCTCAAAAAAGTTTGTTTTTTTAAAAGGATTTTTAAAAATTGATTCAAAAACTCACAGGAATGAGCAAAATGACAGAAGTATCAAAACCATTGCTGTTGAAAAAGATAATAGCTTGTTAAAGTACTGAACATGCAGGAAGAGGATGCAAGATAAAATATAAATATAATGAATCTATCCTCTTGGGATGGATAATTAATGGATAATTAATAAGTGCATACTTTATGAGGAAAACAAATAAAGGGTAGCTGTTTTAAAAGAAATCACAAATAAATGAACTGTGATAAGCCTCACCATCTCTGCTCAGACAGGTCAACTCACTGCCATGCAAGAGTCCTAGGAGGAAGAGGTCACTGGGGGTCAGGGGAAGGTCTGCAAGGCTATGCCTCACATACATGTGAACATATCTGGACTTCATGACTTAGGAGACTCTCCTCAGACTAGAAAAATGAGTTTTTAAGATCCTTAAAGAACCATCTCAGGAAATTTTCACTGAATATCCAGTGTTGTGCATTGTCTCTTGAAAATATTTTCTCTCCTTCGAAGTTGAAGTTGATAGTGTTTTCCAATGAAAAGGAGGCTGAAGGACAGCAACAGCATTAAAGAGAGATGGTCTCTGCTTAAGGAAGAAAGAAGAGAGGACATTGCACAAGTCCTTTTTATTTTTTTTTCTCCAAACAAAAAAATGTACATCAAAAGAGATCACAGGTGCATCAGTGAAAAGTCCTTCAAATGATGTGCCTTCCTATTGCCTTTCTGAGCCCCATAGACACACTGAAGGAGGAAGGAAGAAGGTGATTTATACCTATTTACAGAATTTGATATTCCTGCAAAGGCAATTGTGTAGCTCTTGATAATTTAGCAGTTCAGATTCATCATAACATTTCATCTTCAAGGGCTATCTCAATTCCTCAAATAGATCTTTATTCTACACTCACTCATTCAAGGATGAAAAATGTACCCCACTGTATTGAATCAAATTACCTTTAAAACCTGCAGCTTTTCTTCAAGTTCTGTTCTTCTGAGAATGGTTGTTGCATTAAGAGTCTCTATCCTGTTTTTAAGGAGGAAAAAAGGTTGGGGGTAAATAATGTGAGTGATTCATTTGGATGAGTTTCATCTTGATGGAGTTTGACACTTGGAGGACAGACCACACTAAAAATGCAACATAAATGTCACACTTCCATGGTCCTTCAAGTACCTGGGATCTAAGCCAAATGTTCTCACTACATTTGGAGAAATAAAATGTGTAGTGGGGGAGAGCTCCCCTTGAAAGTGTAGATGAAAAGATCCTGGTGAATTCATAAGTTTTATTTCATTTGATGAAATTGCTATGTGATAACAATGGCTGCTCTCTACCAGAATCTATTCTTTTGGGACAGGCTGAATCAGCTCATGCATGTGGTAACTATTTATTGGGCATCTAGCATGTGCCAAACTCCAGACCCTACACTATGAAGAAAAAGGTATGACTAAAACAGCAGACTCTGGGGCTCTCCCAACAGTGGGATCAATGTGCTATATCTTGACATGGGCGGCAATCCTTTCCTCCTGGGATTCTGGGGGGCCTTACCTCCGTAAATTGCCTTATCACTTGAGAACAAGAACTAAAAGAACCAGAACGACTATAAAATAATAACCTTTGTATGACTCTTTCTTCTCAAACCTTTAGTTTACAAACTTTATTCCCAGAATTATCGCTTTAACAATGTTCTTTTCTTCCTATGCCAAATGCTTTTCTAATAATAGAAGACTTATTCTATCCTGAGTGATTTGGTTTGTTTTGTGTGCTCAAATTACCTTTATTTTGACTACGAAACTATCAATCATTTATGAATCACTCCTAAGCATTTTAAAAATACTGGTTCAAATTCTTTCTGATAACTAGGCTGTAACTGTATTTATAAAGATGCAAGCAATTTCAGAAGGCATGGTAAATGCATAAAATGTGGAGACCAATTTTCCTCTATTTCTAATAGCATCATACCTGAGATAATGAGCTGACAACAAGCCAAAATGCTGTCTGCTTTCTAATTAAGACTGTCTCGATTCTCTGAGCCATACAGGGGATTGCTGTGAACCTCTGTCACTGAGACTCTTAATGTGGGCCTGACTTGTTCACATAATAGATATGCATGGGAAAACCTGCAGACCTCAGCGGGCCCTTCCTTCAGTATTTGTGCAGATTGCCTTCCATTTGCCTGATCTGTGGACTCTCAAGTATCATCCCCATCTATTATCTGCAGTCTGCCCCCTTCACCTATGTGAAGCATACATTTCTGACTCTGCTAGCATTTTCTCTTTGACTCTACATGGTTCCTGCCTTCTGGATCCAAGTTTCTCTGGAGTACCCCCATCTTTTCCCTGAACTCACAGAACCCACAGAACTGATTTAGTCATTTACCCCCACCAATCATCCCTCAAAACCACTCATGCACACCCATCAACATATCCCTGAAGTATCAAAGAGTATCCACCAAATTCTTTCAGCAGCTCATGATGAGAGTTGTAGCTGAAGAGAATGGATCCTGGTATCCAGAGCAGGTGACCATATCCAGCCCTGCCACTGACTATTTGGGTAACCTTAACAAGGTCCTCTCTAAGCCTCAGGCACTTCATGCATAGATAGGAATAAGACCAACCTAAGTAGCTGTGAAGAATGATGGGATTGTATTGGACCCACCTCAATGAGAATAAAATCTAAACTCTTTGGCATAGTTGCTGAGACCCACGATCTGCTTCATGGCCAACTCTGTCTTCATTTTGTATATTCTCACTAACCCACCAGCTACCTATTACACTGGGTTTCCCTCTGTCGCTTCCACTTGCCAATCCCATTCTGAGGGCTCAGAGGCCTCTCTCTTTACCCAGAATGCGCTTACTAAGACTTCCTATGACCAATCTTCTCTCCACTAGTCTTGGCCCCAAGTTTCCCTCTTTAGAAAAGACCATTTAAAACATCTAAAACTGAACAAGCAGACTTCTTCATTGGTATTCTCTCCCCTTGCCCTATTTTACTTTCCTTGTAGCAGTTATCAACAACCAAAATGTGAAAAAAAATTATTTTTCAGGATTTTCTTATCCATCTCCTTCCACAATTAATAGAGTTCTAAGAGGGTCTTCCTCTTTGCCTCTCTGGAACTTACCACTAGTTACGTAGTATTTATCCATAGTATAATTTTAATGAATAGGTGAATGTTAATTTCTAACTACTGAGAGAGGGTTTAGGAATGCTATGATAGAAGATGATGATGCTGTTTTTCCCTTGAGGCAGTTTTCGCTCATGGAGACTCTTAATGTTGATCTGGAAATCAGTCAAAGTCTCTAATTGGAAAAACCAATATCTTATAAAAATAATTCTGGAATATTGGTAGAAGTGTTTGTGTTTCAAGGTTGGGAGAGTTGAACAAAACTTGATTCTTTCTCCCAAATGAAATAAGAGAAAAATGAGTGGCTGGTGGCATAAGAGGGAAAAACTTAGTCTTCTGACCTTTTATTTGTTGTATCTACAAGGTTATATCAACCATGAAAACTGAACTAGTTTTTTTCAGTCCAAAGAATGTGTGCCAGTTGAATTGAATTTGACATTGAAAAAGCATTTGTAAATTCACAAAGACATTGGGGCTATTGATACCCACTGACTTCAGGTGTTGACAATATGTTCAAGCCTGTGGAAACCTTGAAAAACAAAAGGAACTGATGAAAATATGTGTACCCCATCCCAAAGCTGCAGTGTGCTGTCTCCCCTGTGGTGATCCTTAGACAAAAAGTCTATTCATTCACTCAGCAAGCATTGTGAGTGAATGTAACATCTTTGAAACCTTAGGGGAACTAAATGGATAGTTACCTTAGCATGTTTCCTGAGGATCTGATCAGGTCAACCACTTGCTTGTGTGTAAAGCCTTCTGTGCTCACACCATTGATATTTGCAAGGACATCACCTGGGAGATGCCAAGAAAACTGAACATTATATCGGTTAGTTAAATAATCCCTCCTGACATGCAAATGAAACATAACAAGCAAGCTCCACACCGTCTTGGAATCGTTCAAGAATATTTAAAGCAACAATCACCACCTGACCTTCACTATCCAAAAGCTTTCTTTTCTAGCTATTCAAATGGCTCTTTTCTTAACAGGAGCAAAGTTACCTTACCAGCTTGCAGACCAGCAAGGTGAGCTGGACTGTCCTCCTGTATTTTGCAGATCATAGTGTACAATTCCAAGGAGCAGATGTTCTGATTCTGGAGCCTGTTGGTCTACAAAATTTAAGGAGATACAGAGTTACTACTCAAAACACTCAAACTATATGTGTGAAAACATGAAATTGTGTCAATTATTGTTAAGTGGTAAATAAGTAAATGCAAAGGACAATTTGGAAAGGCTTTCTTGACTACAGGTTGAATCAAAGGTAGCAATTTTGCAATTACCAGACAATGTGCAACCAACTTCATTCATAAAAAAACATCTGGCATGAGAAAGAAAGTGGGATGAGAGTGGCTCAATATTTCCTGTTTTCAAGACTAAGAAACCACCTGATGCTATCATCATTACATATTTATTAAGAAAAATTAAGTTTCTTATTTCTCCATGGGATAAAACTATGGTGGCCAAGAGCAAAATCCTTATGTAGTTCTTATAAGCTAAAGCACTCAACATAGAAGAATATGGAACAGTATATATTCAGCAAGGGAGACATGCCAGCAATGATTATTTTAAAACATAATTCTGTAAATAATGACAATCTTCCCTGCATTTATTCACAAATGCTATGATTGACTCCATTAATTTCATTTCTAAGCACTCTCTACTATGCCTTCCCTGAATTCTTACTAGTTTATCAGTCACCCAAATTAGAAAAAGTTAGGCTTTGCCTCTTACTTCAGTGTGGCACACAAGTAGTTTGTTGATGTTGGGTTTTTGTTTCTGTTTTCAGATTATACCAAAATACTGAAAATGTGTGCTATGTACAGCATCCCAACTACTCAAAACAAACATATTGTTCTTTTTAAAAAATTTAAGTTATGGAGTCTAGCTCCCTTTAAAATCAAAATCAGTATTTTGAGTTGAGTCTTAAATACTTGATTACCATATTACATTACTGCTTCATTGTGCAGAAATTAATGTTGAATGTTGATTCTTTCTTATTTGGCAACCCCTGAGGTACCACATGTCAGTCATATGCAAGTCACATCTACAAACTTTGATCTGTTAACCTCCAAGGGGTTTCTGCTCAATCCCTAAGGCATTCAGAGTCCCCATATCTTAAAGGTAGAAGGGATTTTTAAAAGATGATGTAATATACTTCTCATCTGTATCAGAAATGACTTTAACAGTTTTCCCACCAAAGCTATCACTATAGCTCAGACCCTTTCAGAGACAGAGGCTGGCCTAGTCCATGTGGTACATAAACCAAAGAAAAAACTGACACTCCTTTTGGAAGATACTGTTATAACAATTTTCATTATCAGTGAAGTTCTACCCTCCATCCCCAGGGATCAGAGTGAAAACAATACAGGGGAAGCAATTTGATTTATGTAATTGACACCTGAATATACTCGTAATGGGTGTAAATTTGGGGATTAGAAATAGGAGTAAAATAACAGACTCTCCAAAGTTACAGAAATTAGTACTTAAATATTTTTCTCGTTCTCTCTCACTGATCTATTGTCTCCCATTACAATAGCAGTGACAGAATGATCACCTGCATTTCATGGAGACATAAAGATCACATTGCCCTTTCTCATGCCCAGTGACCTTCATTTCAACTTGTCATATTGATCATCCACTGATACCTACCACATTACTAGAGACTTTATATGTGTTACTAGAAATCCACAAGGACCCAATAAGGCAGTAATTAAGAGAATAAGAACCAAAGTGTACATGAATCTAAAGTCTATGCTCTTATCATACTGCATTATTCTCATATGCAGTGTAAAAATGGACACCCATGGAAAACCATGGAGGAAAATGGATCTGATATTCTCCAAAATGTCACTCTCTTGGCAGGCCAGGACCCAGATATGTTTTTACACATGGTGCACATGAGGATATGTAAGGTTCTTTTTGGCCTGCAGAACATTCCTCAAAGCATTTCCCCTATTTGTTGACTTCCTGTCTCACTAAGATAACATACATGCTGTAGCTCAGAGGTTAAGCCATCAGCTCATGTCTATCTAAAAGATTGAGTGGCTCTGTGGCCTGTTGTCTGCTCATGATACTTTTGACTCTTGTTCCATGTAGAGTAAGTATTTATGGCATGGGAGGGAAACATAAGGAAGCAGTGATAAATAGTATAGCAGAATGAGAAAAATCAGCTACACAAGTAATCATTTATCATGTTTTCAGTAGCAACTGCTGCACATTGCTGAGGATTATTCTCATTTAAAAAGAACCAGTCACAGAACACACAATGTCTCTGTCAGAGAATAAATAGTGTTTCATGTGAACAGGGAATAAAAGAATACTCTACTTCACAAATCTGATGCATTTCACCAATTATTATGGCAAATTAAAGATTTTACCAAATTTAAAAGTGGAAGAGTTCAGACAGTAAAAGGCATACTTTTCTCCTCTTTCTCCTTATTCATTCCATTTTGTTTCTTTACTCATAAAAAAGTGTTTTACTTAGCACTTCCTGTTCCTGATCTTAAAATACATACTGAGTTTCTAATTGTGGGGCTGATATCACACCAAAGTTTTCTGAAAGCAGCACAAAAGCTAAGATCTCAAATCTGCAAAACACATTTAAAAGAAATGTATAACTGCTGTGGAAAGAAACAGTTATGCTTAAACTACAACCATTGTGCTTAACTGGATCAGATTTCATTTGACCTATCTCACCACTTCTCCTAATGTAGTCATGAAAAAGCAAACAGCAAAGAAGAAATTAAAATTTTAGACATTTACACTGAAACCTACAAAGACTGTTTAAAAATTCCCTACATCATGGGGCTGGGAATATAGCTCAGTAGATAGAATGCTTGCCTTACATGCACAAGGCCTTGGGTACAATCCCCAGTACCACAAAAGAAAAAAAAAAGAGGTGGGGGGCTGAGGATGTGGCTCAGTCACTAAGCATCCTGAGGTTCAATCCTTAGTGCCAAAAAGAAAGAAAGAAAAAGAAAAAAAATTCCCACCATCATGAAGAATCTGTGAGTAGAGTCAAATTTCTTAAATGTTTCAAGTAATAAAGTGCCTTCATCAGAAGAAAAAGACAAATCTCTCATTATGTCCACTAAGAAATCATCAATATCAAAATTTCAATAACTACACATGAGTACATGTATGTCACATACACAGTCTATCAAGTGTTTCTCAAATATTGAGGATTTGGAACCTGGTATCTATTATAAGAACATGATTGTGTAAAAACATGTAAAGAATGGAAATATTTAAAATGCACATCTGTATAAAGTATTTCTGATCTATCTTGAGCCTGAGATGGAAACAGCTCAGCACAAGGAGCTGTGCATATCTCAGGAGTAATATTTTCTCAGCTTCAGTGTTTTCTTTCTTTGACACCACTCAACACTCTGGAAAACTACCAAAAACCCATCTACTGAATGAAATTCACAGTCTCCATAGCTCTGTAATCCTAACTTCATTACACTTTGCAAACATCATGACACTATTTGCTCCACTTTCTTCCTGGGGAGTCTTGAAAATTTGAAAACTACCCACCTGAATTTCAAATCCAAATGTTCCATTGTCCTGCTTTTCCACAGTAACAAGCTTTCTATAAAAAATAAAATAAAATAAACTGCATGAAGTTCAGAGTATCACATCTGATACATATTTATTATTAAAAATCACTACAACAATTAAGAATAACTGGAATTTGTGTAAACTGTAGAACCTGTTATGTGTGTGTGCGTGTGTGTCTTAGCAACAGTCTAGAGAGCTATGTTCTTATGTATCTTGGTGGAAAACCAAAAAACAACTGAATCTCTTTACCTTTGAGAACAGGAAAATTCACCCAAAGAACTTGATCGAGTCAAAGCAAGCTGAAAAACAGAAAAAGCATTCAGTTATCTCAAGGTCTTTAAAATACAGATATAAACTGATCTAAATCATACAGGAGCTTGTTCCTCACCACTCTCTTTGGCCCAGCTCCTGGGAGGTTGTTACATACAGGCAGTCATTTCCAATCCCTAGTGATACCAAAGAACAGTTGGGGACCTGGACTTTCAGTTTTTCGTTTAAAGTAAGGCACTGTGACAAGAGTTCATGTAATGTGGAAGAAATCCAAAGCTTAGAAATATTACTTCATCTCTGGTCTGCATCTAAAGCCTCTGAAGATGAACAGTAACAATGTATGATCACACTCAAATCCAAAGAAAATATCCCCCACAAAATGCCATGAAACCCAAATCTCTGATGTTTGGAGATGCTGATGAAATAACTGTGGTTAGTGTAATAGTTCAGGATGCTAATGTTTTTAGCAGGATAAAATAATCTCTACAGAAACAACTCATATACAAAACATGAATCAGGTGAAACCAGGGACTCAAAATCTCAATTCTATTTACGATTTTTATTTTTGCAATAGTTTTGGAAGAATGTAGTGAGATTCCCAGCCAAGAAAGGAAAGGAAACTCAGAATGGTTTTATAAATGGTATAAATAATATCACCTTCACTTCTCGGCATGTTGAAGAAAAGAATCACATAAACATAAACTTTCAAGATATATTCTACCATTTTAACAGAGGAGAGTCAATAAAGAAATCACACTTTGTTTCTTAGGGGACTGAAGCAGATTTTTGTGTGGTTTCTTTGTTTTGTTTGTTTGTAGTTTAGGAAAGGTTAATTAGCCCATTCTCAAGTATTGTTCCAAGGACCCTAAACATAAGCACATGCTACTAGCTAACGTGGTATTTAACTGCCAACTTAATATGGTTGTCATATGTAAGCAAATGCATAAAATGTCCCAATCCAGATAAATAGCCCAGATTAAAAAAAATAAAATAAAATAAGTAGAAGATAAGAACCAGATGTAGAAAAATCCATAAAAAAATTAAGGCATATCTGACTAGTTACCCAGAAGCCTATGTTACTCTGGGGAATTCAAATGACCAGGTCCCAAATGCTAGCACAAATTTTCTGGAGTGCCCCAGTGTTAGTAATCCAGCCGCCAGTCAATGAAGTTAATGTAATGAAGAGGTGAACTCATCCCACATATTTTATGTAAATTAGTTTTATTTGACTCTTTTATCAGTTTTGGACCTTAACTCAATAATATCCCCCTGAAGACTGAATAAAACAGAATGGCTCAGAGTGGGGAAAAAATCCTTAGACTTGCTGAAAAGAATCTACTTTTGATTTATAAGGCCCAAGAGTACATAAAGCCTACAGAAATGTGTGGTTTGTTACCACCTGATTGGGCACCTGAGGTATACGGTGAAGAAAAGACAGAGACCATTCAGTTGTTAGTGGACTTCCTCCTTGGAAGGAGGGCCATGAGTTTAACATTCTGAGCATTCTCAATCTCACCCTTAGACTATGCTCACAATTTCTTGATCTATTTTCATAGCCTTCATCTGCTTGCCTTCTTCCTTGAATTCAGATGCTTAAGTACTTAGGTTAGCCATATTTAATTATGTCATCTGTAATCAAGACTAGGGCTTATATTTTTAAAATACTGCTCTTGCTACCTTGTCTCCATGTTATCTATATATTCACATATGGATGGTCATAGGGTCATATGTGTATATATTTATATGAAGTACATATTTGACCAGATACTTCACACTTGTAGATAATCATCTCTATGCTTCAGGCCTCTTGGGGAAAAGTATTTGTTTTACTTTCCACCCCAGTACCTATCACAGGGCCTAGAATAGAGTGGGAACTTAAAAATAGCAAAGGAGACAAACAGAAATAAACCACTAGACAACACAAGCAAGTGAATGTCGAGGGAAGACCCAAGTTAAAGTATCCAAGTACAAGAGTGTTGTATTAAGATATTCTTTAACTTTGTCTTTCATTAAATTAAGCATTCACAGGAAAACTCAAAGGTAATCACACACACAAAAAAGATAAAAGTTTTAAATCTCAAATAGTTAGCAAGTTTTAAAAATACAAGAAAACAAACAGAAGGGGGAAATCTTCCCTCTATCCCAAAACAGCAGGAAGGAAAGAAAAATCATTAGTAGAAAGCCAAGTAAGGCAGTAATGTCTTCATATACAACTGCTGAATGAATGAACGATGGTGACAAGAGATGATAAATCATTAAAACGTCCAGCCTTGGCAATTTCAAATGCCCTTTTCCTAGGCCTATAATCAGAGCACTAATAAGCCTCAAGATTTTCTCCAATTGGCTTTTTAAATAAAAAAATCTAAAATCTCTTAGGTTCACAAAACAGATCAGAGACTTCTATAAGAATGAAAGTTCCCCACCTCTCCCTTTTTTAACCGTTCTATGTAGCCAGTGATACAAAGATGAAAATATTTGTCTTTCACATCATGAGAAACACAGGTGTTCAATTCCTGAGGACTGACTCATTTGTATTATTGTCACACACACACACACACACACACACACAAAAGACTTATTCCACTTATAAATTAAGTTTCCATTCTGGATTAGCAAAGAGTTGGTTATAGGCACCTAACATAAATAAAAGTCAATTTGAATAAATTAGACACCATCAAATTTTTTGACATTGGCCACATCTCCACACAGCCTCCTTGATTTTGATCCACACTATCAGACTAAGGCGCTGTAGAAATATCCCAAGGCTCACCCACCAAACTGTCTGCCCAAGTGACATTAAGCATGTCTAAGGTCTTACCAAGGGTCTTACACTTTGGAATAATTTCCCTTGCACCTTTTCCCTAGGGTGAGCAGCTCAAAAATGTGACTAACAGAATTGGTGGTCCCCAGACCACCCTGCCAGCCAGAGCCTCTCCAGACCTGTAGTGAAGGCACCAAAAATCATGAATGAGGAACTGGTGTGCAATTCACGGCATATGCTGGCAACAGCTGTCTTTTATTACACATTATCTAATATGAGAAATCTAGGTTTAGCAATTTGGCAGGCTTACAAAGCACACATTTGGTTATGACGGCTGAATACACAAAGTTCCTTATCTCCTCACTGGCCACTAATGACGCCTGGCATTGAACTTATCATCGTTCTTCTGTTTTCAGTCAGATGACTTAAAAGATCAGGCATTAACATTCAAAATGTAATTTTGTCCTGCTATGAAGTGAGAAACCAAGACCAAACTGACTTCAGCTGTCAGTTAGCAAAAGACAGGGGAAATCTGCCCCTCAGCCACATAGCTTGTTTGCTTCAAAGAGGCTCAAAGTTCAACACTCTAGCCACTTCTGCTGCTAAGTTACACATGGTTACTTCCTTATCCAGCTCTGAGTTCTCACTTCCTGAAAGAGTGGAATTAGGAGAGTATATAGAAACACAGGTGGGGTTTTTTTGTTTTGTTTTGTTTTTAATGTTTTGAAAGTCTCAAAGTATGAGTTCTGCTCTTTCCAGTCCCCTGTCTCATCTTTACTTCTCAATTGTTCCATGAATCGCGCCTCATCCACTTTTGAGTCAGGAGCATTAGGACAACAGGGCTTCCAGAGACTGTTCAAAGATACAACACAATGACTGAGCTGATGTCAATTTTCTAACTTGTAAGTGCCCTTAAGGAACCTAAGCAGAATTTGCAGCTTCTCAGCAGACTCATGGACCTTTTAAATGCCACAAAATAAATCAAAGAATATATTTTTAAAAATTCCTTTGTAGTGAAATAAACACAGTTATCTACCTAACATCATGAGATAGTCTCAGTCCTCTAGAAGGAACCTTGAGAGATATGGTCCCTGACAGATGTGCTGACAGAAATACTGAAAGCTCTTAAAGGGCAGAACCAACTGAGAAATACACATTACAGAGTTCAGCCCAAATTCCTTATCTGAACTTGCATGTGAAATCAGTCATCCAGAAATTGCCTATTTAGTAATAATTTCATAACTAAAAAAAAACACGCAAAAGGTATCCATCTGTGGTGCCACTAACACACAGCCAAGCTTCTTGCCCATGTGAGGGGTTCCTGGTTCTCATGATAGCATTCTGTAAAAACTGCTTTCGGTCAGACACAGTCACTGTACCTTTGCCCCCCCTCCCCCAATTAACAAAAACTATCCTTCTTTCTTCTTCCTAAAGAGTTTTCCATTCCAGGAATTTTTCCTCCCTAAAACTGTGCTCAAAATTAGAAGCCTTACTGGGATGTCTGGTGCTTCCTACAAATGCAGCTATTGAAATAATCTGCACACACAGAAATTTATTTTTAAACAATTCTGAATGCAAACACGAACTGATTCTAAAGATTAATCTGAAACTAGAAGCTAACCAGATACAGCTTTGCAGAAACCAAAGCCAACAATAACAAGAAGTATGAATTGTTGACGTCAGCCCTCCCAGTGTTGAAAATAACAGTGGGCCGCAAAGCACCTGCTACTGTGAATGCCTCCCAGGGATCTTGTTGCCTGCTGTTCAGTCAGTGCCAAACGGGTGATCATTCTCCCCAAACTAGTCTCTACTCACTGACTCACCACATTTCTAGAATAAGATTCCTAAATTCTCTACTGCTCAAACATACAGTGGCTCTCTATGTCCTTTCTATGTCCTCATGGTTCTACATCCGTGGATTCAACCAACTACAGATTGAAAATGTTCAACAAGCAAAGACATTGAATCATTGCACAGTGAACATCCATTTGGAAAATTCCAAAATGTTGGGATAAATTGGAATCAAGTTTCATTGATAAAAATTGTATAGAATCAGAAGGTTGTATAAACCCAGAGGTTTGGTTTGGTTTGGTTTTAAAAGCAATGTTCATTACAGCAAGAAAGAGCTCTTTGAATAGAGGAAGTCCAGGATGTCTGAGAATATGACAGAAGTGGAAGAGAAGAACTAGGAAAGTGAAGAGCATACACATACATTGATTGGTCTGGGTTGTATGTGGCACTCATGAGTGTATAAACACACACACACACACACACACACACACACACACACACACATACATTAATATGCCTAAATCCTCTTTTTAACTTCCACCGATAATCAGATCTCTTTTACTGATTGCCTTTTTCTAACTCATGCTACTCAGGCTTAAAGTCAAATGTGCCTCCTCTGTCTTCAATACCTTTGATATTCAAGTCTTTCTGTCTCTTCTCCATTGTCTCATTTCCTCTTTCTCTAACTAATGCACAAGTTCCCCCTTCACATCTAGTTTCTAGCCACCAAACGCACCCAGTTTCTAGAATAAAGTTCCTAAATTCTCTTTTGTTCAAACACATTCGGTGGTCTCTGGGCAGGTCACATCACAGTCAGCTCCCTGTATCTGCAGGTTCTGCATCTGTTGATTCAATCAACTGCCGACTGAAAAAATTCAAACAATGAAAAACTACAGGATCTGCACTTAACATGTACAGACTTTTCTTATAATTATTCTCTAAAGAATGGAATATAACAACTATTTATATAGATTCACATAATACTAGGCATTATAAGTGATCTAAAAATGATTTACAGAATAAGGAAGGCCATGCCTAGTTTATGCACTAATATTATGCCATTTTATGTCAGTGACTTGAGCATCCCTGGATTTTGACATTCATTGGTGGGGGGGGGGGGTGTCTTTGAACCAATCCTCCATGGATACCAAGGGAAGATTGTACTGCTTTCTCAGGGGAAGTTGTCCAAATGTTCTGCAAAGCAGCCCAGGTCTGAGGTCTCCTCGCACCTCCTGCCCATGCATGGGGTCCCACTGGCACTGTGACTATTGTTACACAATCCTGACCCCAGGCACTAGGATGATGCCTCAGCAATAATCATTCCCTTCCTCTGTAATATCCTTCAAGTGTGTATTCAAAGACTTGCTACCTGGATGAAAGGATTTATATCGATTTACTTTGTGTAATGCTTATTCATTCCACTTCCTAAACTGTAACCCCTCCAGGCCACAAATGTGCTGCCCAATCTGTGTCTCCTATGGGTAGCATGACATCTGTCCTCTTGTAGGTGCACAGAAACTATCTATTGCACTGAAATGTCTGAGCTGAAAAAGCAAAGAAAATAAGTAAAGTTACAGGTGTGGAGGACATGGAGGGTGGGAAGTAAGTTTCAACTCTGATTCAAAAATGACCAACTTTAGCAGTAAGTATTCTACCAAAAGCATGAAATCATGGCCTAGTCGAATGAATCATATTTAATATGATAGCTTCAAGCAAATAGAGAGAAAGGAAAACAGGCCACTCTATATCTCAAAACTGAATAAAGATGTTGGTGCTTTCTTGTTGCTTTATTTTCAGATTGATTGTCAATTGATGGAAATGTTCATCATTATATTAAACTTTGTACTGTAAAACCCCTTTGGATTGAGAAAGATGAAAAATCTGGGTCATAGCAAATCACATTCTTATCTTCACTGTGAAAAATACCAAAGACTCAACTCATTGGATCACTAAAAAAGATCATGACTCTCCCTCCATGCTATAACTCCAAGATCCTGATATCAGAAGGATTCAGAGGTGCACGTGATGTATACACAAGATTAAGGGGGAAAAATCATGCTCTAAAGCAATTCTGAATATTTTCTAAATAAGTGCTTTTTAAAAGTTTAAATAACAGGATATAACAAATCTAAGAGAAAATCATAAAAATATGCTATCATTTAGAAACTGAAGGACAAAAAAATCAGAATAAATTCAGGACTTGGATTTTTTAAATGAGTTTTCATCTTTAGAGAAATATTCTGCAATAAAAATTTTTAAATAACAGAATTTAGCCTTTCATAAGCACAGTCTGTCATTGTTAGGTACTGCATATTCCTTACCTAAGAATCACAGAGCCTAACAAGGGTACTTCTACCATTATCTTCATTTTACAAGAAAGCAATCTGAATATTAGACTGGTGACTTGTGCAGGATTCCACAGCTACTAAATAGCTGAAGTGGCACTCTATCCCGCACTCACCTATCCAAAAAAGCCATCCTTCCCAAGAGCATGAGGAATGTGCCAGTGCCTAGCGGTGAAGAAAAATAACTTAGTGCACATAATTTTTCCAAGAGAAAAAGAATCCTGTTTTGATTATAAACTGAAATTATTGTCAAGGACTGGGAATAGTGAGGATGGGAAGAAAAGAATCAATGAAAACAAAAAGAGGGAAAGATCAAATCATTCTCATGCCCAACGATTTTCATTTTACTTGAGCACCTCTTCAAATGAGAAAAACAGTCTTTTAAGATGGAAAAATAGATGTTTGATTCTGGTCTCACATCTCTGAATTGGTCTACTAGATCTGTGGGCACCTTGCCTCTTTCCTCACCCCTAGGCTTGGTCACTAATTCTGATTAGTATGAAGTCAGATGAATATATCACTCTACTCTCAAGAAAACACAAACACTTTTAAGGTTTTTTTTAAAAAAAAAAAAAAAAGTTATCATACCTGCTTTCGTCCTCGAGGCAAAGTAGCCACAGTGTCTGCTAGCATCTGAATCCTTCTGTTATCATCCATGGTAAGAGGTCCTGTGAGGGTGGGGTAAGAGCTATATGCTGGACCCCCGCAGTAGTCCACCAAATTGCCATTGCTGCTCTGGTGCATAAGCCTTTGTAAAGACATTGTGAATAAAGACTACTCCAGCTTGCACATGTCTGAGTGGCCTTGCAGGATGGGGGAAGCTAAATGTACTACCCTCTGACAAGTAATCAAGAGTAGCAGAGCAGAAAGAACCCACGTGACTCCTGTGGTTTGAGGTACTTGTTACACAAACCCTATCTTACTGTTCACTCCCATTTCTCAATGCTTTTTGCTTTAAGCTCCTCAGACAACCTCAAGCGATTTTTTTTTTTACAATTAAAACAAAAAGTTCTTATTTTCTCCCTCAAACAGCCAGAACTCTTATCCTTTCATACTTTTTAGCTAGTTGTATTCAAAACTCCATCTGCCTTTTTTATTTATTTTTTTTTAAAAGAATGAAACACTTCCCCAAGTTCTGCCATTTGTTTCCCATCCATGCTCTTCCTTAACATTAGCAGTACAAGAGCCAGGATGTGCTGACAGTTCTTGTGAACATAAGCAAGAATTACAGGTGCTGGTCATAATGTTCTCTCTTAAAGTCCTTGTAATGTACTTTCCCCGAAGTAGGCACTAGCTCATTAGTGTTCATCAAAAAGACATTCTCTATCATTTAGGTTATAGCCATTTAGCATTCTTCTCATTCCCCTTCTACTACTTTGTCTGCCCTAAATTACCCACCATCTTTACACAATTGAGTGGGAAGGGAAAGCCAGCACACTCAGGGTACAGTGTTGGCCATGGCTTAGATTGGACGTTATTGCAGCATCAGTAAGTGGTCTGGGAAATGAAGTGAGCAAGAAGATAACAAGCAAATCGAGTTTCCAGTTGGTCCCTGCAAATGTCAATGGGTGTCGGATGCCAAATATTTTTTTTAATCCCTCAGAGGTCATGGGTGGGTAACTTTGAAAAAACTGATTTGAGGAAGAAGCAGGGGAGGTAGGCTAAAAGAATAATCAAAACGAAAGTGGAAAGAAGTTTTCTAGAACTTATAAGAGTTAGAAAAGCTTTGCACTAAAGTAGAATGCATGTGCTATAAATCAAGGTGAATTGAGCTCAAGCAGAACTTTTCAAATGTTAGTTGTAACAGAGCTTCCAAAGATGGAGTCATCAGAAATTTGTAAAACCCTGTCACAGAATGACTCATTACTACTAGAATTGGATTATGACACAGGCAGAATGATGTCCATCTCATATATATATGAGTTTACAGGTGCACCTGGCTTTAGGCGTAGGTAGATGGCCATGCTACAGATTTTGACAAGTAAATATTATACCAGTTATTAAGATTTTCATGTCATATATGTGTGTATGTGTGTGTGAGAAAAACTCATGTTTTTTTTAAAAAAATCATCTCTAAGTTATGAAGCACATAGCTATAATCAACATTGGTTGCTTCTGTTTTTGTTTTGTTTTGCTTTGCTTTGCTTTATTTTGTTATTGTTACTGGGGATTCAACCCAAAGGCACTCTATCACTGAGCTACACCTTTAGTTCTTTTTATTTTCTTTTTCTTTGTGTGTGTGTGTGCATGCGTGCGTGCATGCGTGTGTGTGTGTGTGTGTGTGTGTGTGTGTTAGTGTTACTGGGGATTAAACCCAGGGTGATAAAACACTGAGCTACATCCTTAGCCCTTAGTTCTCCCTCCCCCACCCCTCTTTCTGGGAATTAAATCCAGGGGCATTCTATGACTGAGCTATACTCCCAGCCTCATCCCCTTACTTTTTTTCATGAGGCAGGGTCTCACTAAGTTGCCCAGGATGGCCTTGAACTTGCAATCCTCCTGCCTCAGCTTCCCTAGAGACTGATATCACAGGTGTGCATCTCTGCACCCAGCTAAATCCACACTATTAATGATCCATCAATACATCAACTTCTAGGAATTTTTAAGTTAGGCAAATATTTTAATATCATAAAATAGCAAATATAAATTGTTTGCCTTCTCTAAGACCACATAGGCCAACTGACACAACAAATTTTATAGATGAGTACAAAATTTATACCAATTCTGTATCTTACACTGATCTTCAGCTGTATATTATAAAAATAAATCAATAATTAAGGAACTGGAAATTTATTATGTAATTTATGAAGTGTGCTTACAAGCAGAATCATTCAGATTATGGGCTTCATGAGTGTAATATCAGAAGCAAAGGTGTTTGGGTCTAATATTCAGTCAATAAATATGTGGTCACACCTGTTATTTATATCCTTATGAACTGTTCAATGTTTATTGGTCAGTTCCTGTTCTGATTTCCAGGCCCTGACATACTACTGATTAGATATTTTAAATAATATCCTGATCAAATGTGTTCCTTGTGATAAACTGTAGGAAAACACCATTTTTTAAATGAGAATGTGGCTTTCAAACATCAAACTATTTTTTGACTTATAAAAGTATTTGACTTATAAAAACTGTTCTACTATTTACAATTTTGCTTCTCTTTAGGATTTATCTGAGGGCAATTATAATAGCCTGAACTCTCTTCCCCTACAGACTCCACTTTATTTTAGAAAGGTGTTTCTGAAAATAAATCAGATCAAGCTGTCTACCAACTCAAAAGGTTTCAAGGGTACCTCACTGTGCACAGAATAAAATCAAATAAAAATATTTCCAAGCTCTTACCTGATTTCATTTTCTGAAATTTTATATCATATATTTTTAGATCTTTCTTTTGAGATATTACATATTATACTTGGATTATAGTTAATTTTTTGCAAGTCTGTTTCTCCACTAATACCTAATTTCCTCTAATTTCTTTGAAAGGGAGGACCATTAAATTCATATTTCATGTCTTAAGCATAAAAATTGTTCAGTAAATATTTGTTAATAAAAAAGTAGAAGCAATATATATTGAAAAAAAGGGGATTTTCAGAAATCAGAAATACTGTTGTTCTGAAGCATCAAATACGATATAAACCAAACTTGTAGAAAATAAGATGTACTATAAGCTCATATTTCAAATTTCAAACCTCCCCAAAAGGTTATCTGACAGATAAGTACAGAATCTCTCTTAAAACTGTCAGTGACATGCTCAATAACTAACATTCCTTTATTTGGGTGGGGAAGAACATTCCTCTTCTTTGGAGCATGTTTTAGTCAGCTTTTTCATTGTTATGACCAAAAGACCTGACTGGAACAATTAGAGAAGGAAAAGTTTATTTGGGGGCTCACAGTTTTAGAGCTCTCAATCCACAGAAGACCAAGTCCATTCCTCAGGGTACCAGGTGAGGCAGAACATCATGGCAGCAGAGTGTGGTGGAGGAAAGCAGCCCAGGACAGAGAAACTGTCCTTAAGGAGAAACTAAACTCAGCTCACCAAATATGCACTCCAAAGGCACACCCCCAATGACCCACCTCCTCCAGCCATACCCCACCTTTCCACAGTCACCACTCAGTTAATCCCTTTCATGGGATTACTGCACTGATTGGGTTAAGACGCTCATAACCCAATAATTTCACCTCTAAACCTTCTTGTATTGTCTCACACATGAGCTTTGAGGAGACACCATACCATAACAGGGCATTTTGTTCATACATAAGGAAATACCCTCAGAAGGAAATAGTCTTGAAATGAACCCTGAGGGGTTGGACGTGGAAAAGATTTGGTAGAGGCAGGTAAGAGAGATATGCCAAAGAGTGGGGAACACACGGTCTTGGAGAAAATATTGCCAACCATTTCTAATCCTTATGAGAATCTTAGGCAGCTTTAAAATGTTCAGAGCCGAGTTCCGGTGCTAAGCTACTACTTAGATTCAAATCCTGACTCTGCTGCTTTAAAGAATAAGCATTGAATTGTGTCTCCTAAATTCTTATATATAAGCTCTAATCCTCTACGTGACTGTACTTGGAGACAGAGTCTGTAAGGGCATAATTAAGTCAAATGAGGGTGGACATATAGGACCCTTACAGGATAAGACTAGAGCCCTCACAAGAAGAGACACCAGAGATTCTCTGCACCATGTCAGGACACAGCAAAAAAATCAGCCATCACAGCGCAGAAAGAGCCCTCGCCACAAGCTTGATCTTGAACTTCACAGCCTTCGTAACAGTGAAAAATAAATTTAAGTTTTGTAAAGCCACCCAATATGTGGTATTTCTTGTACTGTGGCATTTGTTATGCTATGGTATTAGTTATGGCAGCCTAAGCTGATTAATATACTCTATAAACCTCAGTTTTCACAGTTCTGAACAAAAGGTTTTAGGGAGGAATAGATAAAATAGCCCATTAACAGTGCATGGTACAGAATAAGCTATTATCTTAAGTAATAAGAATTCAGAAAGAAAAGCTTCAAAGGAAATGACTTTGATTCTTTATGAGCTGCCGTGTCCATTAGCACATGATCATACATGCAGCAGGGATGCTCTTATTCATTAGGTTGCATGTGGGAGGGGAGTTGAGTGGTTGTTTAAAAAACAGGGGTTCTTCTGTGTCCTGACTTTAAGATAGTTTTTGACTTTTTCTTTATTTTACTTTGGCTGTTTGCTTTTATGTGAACAGGATTTTATTTGGCTTCCTAGACTGCCACAGCATTTTGTTTTGCTTTGTTGTTTCACTAATTGGTTTTATTTTGGACTTTGCCTTTATTTGGATAGAAAGCCTTTTTTTTTGACTCTCTGGAGTAACATAAGAGATGGGTTAATGTTACACAGGCAATATTTTATTTTTATTATTGTATATTTGAGTTTATGTAAGGTAAATTTGATTTATACACATATATAAACAAATGTGTGTGTGTATATATATATTTAGTATCATAAGAAACTAAAAATCAATCAATTATCTTGGCTACTAAATAAAATTGGTAGGTTATATCCATTTGTTTATATAGTGATGATTTAGTGAAATGAGTTCACTCAAATCCATTTAAGAAGAAAACAAAATATATATAAATAGAAAGTGGTGTGTGTGTGAGTATGTGTGCATGTGTCATAAAGCAGAAATAAAAAATACACCAATAATTGTAGAAGATATTGAAAAAGTAGTCAACAATCTGTCCTTTGAAAGATCATGAGATGCAGATTACTTGATTGGTGTTACACTAGATTTGCCAGTTGCTAAAACCAGCCTGGAACTTGTGGTCCTCCTGTCTCAATGTTTCAAGTAGCTGAGATTACAGACAAGTGCTACCATATCAGGATCTTTGGTGTCTCTTTATCATTTTCTTCCAACTATGCAAAGTCCTTCCTCAGAAAGGTCTCCTGAAGTCCCCACAAAATAGTACAGCAAAGGAGAGAAAATTAATCACAGAAAACTAATTTTTTTTGGTAGAAAAGGATATTGGTTTGAGGTATTAAGAATCACTGTTTCTAAAATGGCAGTTCTTTCTCATGGGCCATTTATTATCCCATTCTTCTCTACCACACACACACACAGCTACATTTCTAAATCTTTTATCAAAATTCAAAGTCAACAAGGATAACAGTGTTCCTTCCTCTTTCCCTAATGCCCTGCGTCACCCTGAAATGCAGTTTTTACTTCATCTAATTCTTGCCCAATAGACATGGTCTGTCGGCTTCACAGAATAGGGAAAGCCTTCAGGGTTTTGGAAAATAACTTCTTAGAAAACAAGAAACGTGTTTGGGGACTAGAATTTTGTGTGATACTTGGAACAACAAAATATACACATGAAATATGGATGATTCCCCTGACCTTTGAATAAAATCCAAACACCTTAATCTGTCCTTCACAGTCCCGCATGTCCTGGTAGATCCCATGAGTTCTCATTGTGGCATAGCCTGATCATGCTGGGTTTCCTTCTGTCCCTTCAACAGCAAGCAGTTCCTTCTCAGGTCTTTTGCCCTCACTGTCTCTTCTGCCTAAAACATGCTACCCTAAACCTATTTCACTTGTACTCTCCCCACCATTCAATTCCCAGCTCAACAGTAACTAGAGAGGCTCCCAATTCAACCCAATTGAATGGACAAAGATGTTAAGCTACATCCAAACACCTCCAGGGAGAGTTTTCACCTTAGGATTCCCCAAATAGTCCTCCCTCCAATCTGCTCACCATCTGCTTCCTGGATTAACTTTGCCACCTGTAGGGATTTGTTTGTGAACATGGTGAGTGAACCAACAGAGAAGGGTCAACAGGAAGCAATGAATAGAATGTGCCTCACCTTCTCCATTTTTGTTTTCAAAATCTAGAAAGGTGTGTGTGTGTGTGTGTGTGTGTGTGTGTGTGTGCAGCAGAAGGAACTACAGAGGAACAATAAAGTTAACTTTCAGAAACCAGAATCCTCTATTTTATTTCTATACTTGCCTACTTAAAATTTTAAATAGATATGAACTTTCAATTGCTTTGAGATTTAAATGCCATACAGGGAAGAGGAGTATATTAATCATTTCTATATGCCCATAACCTACCACACAGCCTGAGTTACAACAGGCAGGCAAGAAATAGTTCTAAAATTTATTTAATTAAAATAATAAGTCAAAAAGACACAGCACAAAGTATTAAGCACAGGAGAAAAACCAATAACAGTATGTCCCTCTTTCATAAATCCATACTGTTTATTATAATACTCAATAAAGAATAGAATCAAAGGACTAACTCTGTCTCCTTCTATTCTCTTCCTTTTCTTCCTTCCCAGACTTTCTCTCCTTAAAGTCATAAGAAGAAGCTGGCTGAATTTACAGAATGTCAGACTAGAAAGAACCTCAGAATCATTTCATCTAACTCTCTTTATTTTCTTGTAAAAAACTGAAAGCCCAGAAATCCAGTCTTCCCCAAAGAGACAGAATGGTTTTTAAAGACAGGACTATGGCTAAACTGCAGTCTCCTTCCATTGAATTCCACAAGTACTTAGTGAATATTTAATGATAATAACAGAAAGGCAATAAGTAAATGTGTTTAATTTCATAGAAGTCATGAGAATAGAACTTCATTTGCCATAATCCCCCAGATGAGGACAGGACATTGAAGCTAACATACTCGCCTTAGATTACACAGCTAAACCCCAGGATGTCCAGAGTGAGGGTCCAAGGATGATGACAAGGTTGACCATTCTGCAGTACCACCACTCCACACTTGGGCAAATGCAGCAGATATACAAGGAGCCAGATATGACCCCTGGCTTTGTGGAGATAAGGATCCAGTAGAGGAGATAGATAATGAAAAAAATGAGTTTTAGTATGATTGTGATTCAAATAATGGTTCTAAGAAATACTATGGGTTTATCAAAGAAGATCAAAATATTTGCCTTATTGCAGCTCTACTTGTTCCCCAAAGCAATCTATAACCTTGATAAAATGCTATGATAAGTTTATAAGTAGTCATAATGAAAGAAAGAATGCCAATCATTAGTCAGTAATTTTTGTTTTGAACACCCCATTAAAAAAATCACATTAAAAAAGGTACCAGTAAGTCCTGACCCCTGATACCTGTAAGAGTGGCCTTATTTAGAAATAGGGTCTTTGCAGACGTAATTAAATTAAGATGAAGCCATTATAGTGGTTCTAATCCAATCCCATTGGTCTCCCTATGATAAGAGAGGAACACTTTGTGAGAACAGAGACACATTGGGATTGCAAGTTTTGCAGTTATAAACCCAGTTACCACCATGAGCTGGAAAGAAGCAAGGAAGGATTGTATCCAGAGTCTCAGGGGAACAGCTCCCTGCTAGCACCTGTATTTCAGGTTTCTATTTTCCAGAACTTCAAGAGATAAAATTTGTTGTTTTAAGCCACTGAGATTGTGAAAATTTGTTGTCAGTCCTGGGAATTCATACTATCCATTCTTCCTATTTAGAGATATTTAAGAAAATATTAAAAGTGGAATGTCCTGTTCAGCCCCCAAATTAATGACTACCCAGTATCACTTTGGGTAGATATTGACTCAAAGCACAACAAAAGTTTGTTGTAGTTCTTGTTGTTCTTGTTGTTTTGTTATTTAAAATAACAAGTATTGAAATTGTATAAATGAGTATGTGGCAATGAATTGAGGTAAATTCATAAACAGTGACACTTTCTCTTTAGCCATAGCACTGTTGACTTCCTGTTTTACTAGGAAGCTGGGAGCAAAAACATAAGGAAATGTATGGTTTAACCTAAGACAGAGGGACAACTGGCCTTATCCAAATTCAGAAGTCCTGAGAATGTGCCATGCAGTCCCGACACTGAATCTCCACGGGCAGCCCACAAGGACTGTTCCTCCTTCCAGTGGAAATAAACAGAAGATACTGCTGCTTTAGCAGACCCATGGCAGCCTGTCCTGCCAGTTGGCCAAAGTGAATATTATCTTCTACATTGGAATACTGATTTCCAGTGTCAAGCAGCCAATTTGCATCATCTCT